AAAAGACCTTAGATTGAGGGGACTCTGCTCCTAACGTTTTGCTCTTTTCCTAGTTGAACTTGAAATATCAAAGGTTTTAATCAAATATCCTTTTCCTCAAAATAAAAGCTTTTCCCTTCATTCGATTCAGTCTTGTCCCCAGAAATTCCTTATAAGTGGAAGCATGGAGTTTATTTATAAGACAACAATGCACAGATATTTCATGGAACACAATCAGGAAATGTATTCCTTACATACACGGAGCTGAAATCGGCAGTACTGAGATGGTGGTTACTATTCAAAAGTTACTTATGCTTCAAACTATTTTTGGAAACTAATGAACTTTAAACTTTTAACTAAACTTTTATACTTTATACTATACTATATTATTACTTTTATACTTTTATACTAAAGTTCAAACTAATGAACTTTTATACTTCAAACTATTTTTGGGGATAATTATTCATCCATTATCTTTGTAAGATAAATGTGACGATACAGTGCAGAGATTATTGAATGAAATCTGTTATGATGAAAACCTGTTGATTTGAAAAGACCAATTGTCCAAGTTTCTCTCGAATGAGTACACCGCCATTTTCATCATCGAATATCTCACTACCAAACTCTTCTCTTAATTTATGATAGGCTGGTTGCCCGGGCTCAACTACTGAAAGAAGTTTGCTTTTACATAAAATTTATGCAGAGTACTGACTAGATGAGACCAAAGCAACGGATAATCGATCGTTTCGAGTGTGAAACTGCCAGAAAATTTACCAAAAATTTTCAAATACTCCTCAGTTACAGAAGATTGAGCAGTAACATTGCTACTGCTTCAGTGAATAATGCGAATTTGAAGACGACGGAATTTGAAGATAGCGATCGAATGAAAGGAACAAACACCTTCACGTGCGATCAGATCGGCATCAATCACCGGAATACCGTGATTTTTAAATATGTTTGAAACCGTACTCTTCCCTGTCGATATACCACCTGTTAATCCAACCAGAAACATCGCGCTGAAAAAAAAAGAATTTTTCTGTCAGAGTAAGTTTTTGAACGCGTTTTCCAAAAGTTAACTGAAATTGCGAGAATAAGTTGAAGATGCACTTTGATATGGTATTGATATTCAAAACAACACGAATGCCTACAATATCGACCGAGGTTTCGTTGGAGTTTTTTGCTAGTTTGTATCTTCAAATCAAACGCAGTCAAACGCCACATATTTGTAGGAGATAGTCTCAAATGCCTCAGATATTCACTGCAAGAACGAGATCGGAAAAGAATTTCACCAAGACTGAGAGTTTCCTGACCCAATGGCACCAGAAATCCCAGAAACCAAGAGGACAGAACCCGGAAACACCAGAACTAGATGCCGCATCCGTAGGGATCCTTGTCTAACTTTTCATGAATTGCACGGAATAAAAAATTCAACGAACCTCTTTCCTCATCCAAATCAATTCAATACAAAATCTCAACTACATTAATGACATTCAGGTCATATTCCCGTGAACAATAATGTAATTCTAATGCTGCTGCTGAAGGTTTACGTTAAATGGAAGGCCGTATTGCTATAGAGCGACCAAACATTTGAATATCAACATCACACACTGAATGATCAAAGCGACGTGTGGTGGTGAGTTATATTCGGTTATGTATGATTATGCAATCCTTTGCAAATTGATATTTGATATACAGTAATGCTGTTGGTTCATTTATTATCATATTCATTTGTTTACTTCAGTTTTTGAAATGACGAAA